TGTTGTAAGAAAAATTAAAATGCATGAGTCAGTGAAATTATTTTTCCCCAACCAAACGCTGGCTGTGAACAAATGAGTAGGTTTTAGTTGTTTTTTCCTGGCTGCGGCAAAGCGCGGGATTGCTTCTCGTTCTATACAAGTCCCTTCATTCACTATTATAAAAGGTTCTAACTTTTTTCTAACTCAAATGTATATAGATATGTATTAGTATGTTTGTTCATTCCTTTTTGTCTGTATGTAGTCCATATTGACACATCCAAAACATCTTATATTTGTGAACGGAGGGAGCATATCGTAGCTAAATAAAGTCTATGCTGCAGCACCGACTGGATTTTAATGCCTCCGTCACCCCCAAGCTTCTTGATTGAGGACGGAGTGCAAGCGCAGCATCCTAGCGACAAGATCAGGTTGGATCGTGCTTTAGATACAACAAATATGTATTCTTGCTCTTGTATATACGTTTTGATCAAGAAGACGAAGAATGCTCATGGTCTCATGGATCTCTAGTAGTTGTTGCTTGGCAACCAACTGCTGCAAACCTCACTTCGGCCTGCTCGCATCCCTGATGGTTGCTGCCGGTGTTTATCACTACAACTCAGACGTTGACCAGTGTTCCTCGAGCTGGCCTGCTGCCGGCGCCACTTAACGCAACCAGACGTTCATCAGTGTTCGTCGAGGTGGTGTGCTGCGGGTGCCATTCCACGCAACCCAGACGTTCATGAGGGTTCATCGAGGTGGTCTGCTGCGGAGGGTGCCTAGTCTGCAGGACTGCAGCTCTGTGTTCTTGTCATCCAGCTCCACCAGTTGTCCTCCGTGTAAACCAAGAATAGAGAGGTGCTTCCCACACACGTCATTGCAGAAACTCCATTGGAAGATCATCCTTGCACTTCTCCCTTCACGGCTTGTCACAGTTACTACCACAATGCTCAACTAAGTTTCAGCAAGGGATGTGCATCCAGATACCTCCCATTTCCACGGGTAGTCCAACTCCACCTAAATAATCCTGGTTTGCTCCTTTTGTACTGATCTTTCTCTCCTAAAACATTGGTGCTAATACTATCATGGGTAGAGAGATAAGACATGGATGGGCTAATGGGCAGAGTAGTAGAGAACTAGAGACTCTTTTTTGCGAGAAGAGAACTAGAGACTATCACTAGCTACATGCAACGATAGATGTCAGCACATGCTTTATAACAACGGATCATACTCAGATGGTTGATCTAATAACTTCTCTGCCTAGTACTCCCTTCGTTTCTTTTTAGTCTGCATATAAGGTTTGGTCAAAGTCAAGCTTTGCCTAGTTTGACTAACTTTATATTAAAAGTTATCAACAGTCACAATATGAAATCAACATTTTCAGATGCACCACGAAATGTATTTTCATATTATATAGTTTAAGTATCGTAGATGTTCATATTTTTAAATATAAATTTGGTCAAACTTTGTAAATTATAAGAATTGCCAAAACTTATATAGTTTAAGTATCTTAGATGTTCATACTTAAACTTATAAGAATTGCCAAAACTTATACGCGCAGTAAAAAGGAACGGAGGGAGTACAAAGAGTATATCTTCCAAGAAAATATATTTTTACACCATAAATTAAGTCACATGGTTTGGTTCATATGCCTTAGTCCTGTCTAGTAAAATCATCTATGAGCTAACATCTTCCATATTTATTCCCCACTGACAAGTGGTGATACTACATACGTGGTGACAAGGTGATCCCCTCCTTGTTTTCTCCCTATTAATTAGTGTGCCCACCATCTCTTCAATTTGACACTGCAAATCCGTACTTGCGATTTAAATTTTGATTTTGAAACGGCTCGTGTTCAGTCAGAATCGCCAAAATGATCAAAGGAATTTCCTTGAAAAATGACAAATTTCAGTCATGTAGTTTGAATCTGATCTGTGATTTAATACATATAACCGGATGGGCCACCAATGCTTTGACGTTCATCATCCTAGTCCTAGTGCTTCTTCACCATCCGTGATCTAGGGATTCAATTCTTTCCGCTCAAAACAACTCGCGCTGACAACATGATTACTAATCTCAAATTGGTCTTCCACACCCTTTCTGGACTCTTGGGATGGGCTCAATAAAAGGGAAAACAATTATTCGGAACTACCTACCAGAATTAAAACCTAGCTAAGACAAAAGTCCTACTAGTATAAATCAGACAACTCACCATTGTGGTCCTCACAAGTAGTACACATCCTTCCACAACTCGTCTTGTGATTTTTGGGTGGTAACCATAGCTTTTGTTTTTAGAATATGGGTGGTAAGCATAGCTTGTGAGGATGCATGCATATTGCTCGTACCTAGGATTAGGAGGCATCGGAAGTACAACTATTCGTACTATGTCTGTCATGGGTGTTATGATCAACATAGTCAAATATTGATTCAGTCTTTTTTCCCGCTCTCACATGGCTCACCTCATTCATGTGGTTCGTTGAACGAATTAAATGTTGAAGAATTAAGGCCTTTTCTTATAATAAAACAAGAAGTAAGGTCTTCTATCATTTCTCAAAAAGAAAAAAACTGAAGATGCAACTCTAAAAAAGAAACTATGTTCTTTTTGTTACTACTCATGTTTAGGACATCACCATGTCACGAAAGGGATTCACTTTTTTAAGGGTTGGTATATGAGAAACCAGCGCGACACATCCGTGAGCGCTACCACGATAACCATAATTATGTCACAACATCCATTTTGACGCTGAGAGTGTTGCAGCATCACTCGATTGTGTGGCTGGGCTGGCTCTGTAGGGTAAAGCTTCGAATGTTTCGCTGCATTTTTTTCCTCTTAAATGTGCCTCCCCCTTCGAATTCCGCCAAGATAGAAAAGTAATAGCAAAGTAGCAAGATAACATAATCACGTCTAGTTATTACAAGATATAGAACAATCACCAATAGAACAATATCCAAATAACTTCAGTAACTAAGTTTCTTTCCCTCCAACAGTTTGCAATCCTCCGTGCCATTGATGCTTATTCCATTGCCAATACGTCCAGGTCTGAAAATCCCTCTATGTGGCCCTAGAAATGCACAAGGTATTGGCAATTCTTATTCCGTTAAGCCGTGCGCCAATGAACGTATTGGCAACAAAATCCCTCTTGTCGTGGTGGTGGATGTCATGAACTCGTTCAGGGACATGGACGTATTGGCACCCCTCCTGTATGCCTCATTGACCACTTTCTTGAGCATCCTTGCGCCCACTTAAATGTTCCTTTGTCTTGACTCTTTTTGCAGCATTGCCATGCGTCAATGTGATTGGAAAAACATGACAAGTCTTTTTTTAACAAAAAAAGTTGACGAATTGATGTCCTATGGTGCGTACTCTGATTTAGGATACTAGTATGCTACAAATGAGTTCACATTAAAAGTACATAGACACAACAGGTATTCTCATGCTTTTAACCGGATTCTACTAATAGGAGTATCGAAGACATTTGAAACAATTGTTCACTAGCAATTGCCCAATTAGAGGTGAAGGGGGTTAAGTTTTTAAGATATTTTACCTCAGTTATGTACGTTACTATGGAAAGCTCAAATGTATCGAACTGTTCACCAAAAAAGAAAATGAAATTACTCTTGCTGACATCATTGCTCACACGATAGAAAGAAATTTTCTTACATGATACATTGTGATAATGTAGTACAATATATTGGTACATCCCTCTAGCCCAATGTGTATTTTCTGCCAGAGGCCTGACCCTTGAAATACATGAAGAAGAGAGGTACTATGCTGGGAACACATGAAAATGTCAGGGCTGGTGAAGGTGAGCGGCACTCTGTTCATCCCTGCGCCACTAATCCTTGGACCATGTCCACAAG